GGGAAGAAAAGTATGTTTGGTGGTCTTTGAAAAAGACTGATGCTCCAATCTAAAACAGATTTTTGCTTCATTTCTTTTTTACCAAGTTTGAGATTTTAAGAACAAGAACAGAAGAAAACTATGATGTGAAAAAAGAGACTTCTTTCTTCTTTGCCTCTTACATTTAAATTAGTTTGGAAAATGGATGAGTTGAAAACATTATTAGCTCGTGTCATATTCATAAGAAGGCTATAACCTATAACACTATTACACATGTAAGTTTCATGCAACTTTCACCTAAAACAGGCTGGGAATCTCTCATTTAAATCCCGGACGTTAAAAACAAACAAAAACACCACCTTTCTAGTGCAAATTTTAAAACAAACAGCAGCAGGAGACGCTTGCATGAAGCGAGTTCCCTCTGGTGAAAATCTGTACACCCTCACCACAACAAGTTCTTCAGGTCAGACTCAAAGCCAAAAGAGAAGATTAGGTCGGCTTCGTCTACCACCAGCATCTCAAGAGAAGAACGCAGGACCAGGTTCTGTGCGTTGAGATGGGCAAGCACACGGGATGGCGTCCCCACAACTACATCCGGCTTCTCCATTAAAATGGGCCTGTCCACACATAAAAGTGATCATTTAAAATACATCTCCTCGTTTGACAACACGGACTTTTTTATTAATCTATGAAGTCCACAATTACACTTTGCGGATTTAAAAATATTATATAACTGCAATACTGTGGAAAAATGCAGGCACTTGAAGTCTTTAGATTCTTATCACACAATCAGGGACTTTTGAGCTTGCTAAATGCACAACAGAACAATAAACCCAAGCAAAGCATAAAACAGGAAGGGGTAAGAGCAATTAAAATCAAAAGAACAAGGAGGACTGTTCACTAGCAAAATGATTGCAGATTTACAAAAAAAAGAAGAAATTAATAAATAAATAAAATACTAAAAAAATGACTGTACCATGAAATCAAATACAGACGTTACAGTAGCATTGTACCATGATAGATCAAATTCTACTTTACTGTATTCATAATTCCATCAGTATTGACATGATCCCAAACACCACTGGCTGAAATGCAGCTCTAAAGCATGGCGAGGCCTCCACAATGTTTTAGAGATTACTGTAGCCACACACAGCTGCACCCATCTTCTGACGTGTTCCATACATGTTGGCACTAATCAGAACCAAAGTGAGAACAAAAGTAACCTGATGACAGCAATATTGAGGTCACTGTGTTTTTTTTCTGTGGAGTACTCTTTCCGTGAAGTTAAACGATAAATAAAAACTATTCAGACCACGTGGACCAGTGTCTCCCACACAGACTTTATTTGAACAGACCGCTTCAGCTTTCTGACTGAAAGAAATGTGCTGACCTCTGTGTTGACAGATCAACCTTGCTAGAGATGTCGGCCACTCGGATGTCCCTGGAGCAGTACGCTGTTAACTGTCTCATCATAATCTGAACTTGGTGACCCAGTTCTTTGGTTGGCACCACAATCAGAGCCCTCACATCTTGCTCACGCACAGTCTAACAGGAGAAACAACAAACAGTGAATAAACAACTCTGGAGTAAAACAAATTGTCTGGAGAACAGAAAACATCATCCTAAACAATGGGAACACCATTTTGTTTTTTAAATTTTATACACTAAACAATAAAAAACAAAAAACAAAATCTGGAGAGTCACATTCTCTAAGGTGCAGAGATCATCTAAGATGAAAGTAATATCAACCTACAGTGTGTAAACTCAGCATTTGAATCTGCTTCCAAAAACGTTATTGCTGTTTCTCACCTGTTTGGAAGCCAGGATGCGCTGTATGACAGGTATACCATATGAGGCAGTCTTCCCAGACCCAGTCCGGGCTCGAGCCAGAAGGTCCTTTCCATCTAAAGCCAAAGGGATTACCTTTTCTTGGATCAGAGTGGGCTTTGACCATCCCAGATCTGCGACTGCCTGAGTCAAGAATAAAAAGCAAAAAAACCCAGAGGTGAAACAAATTATTATAGTGACACAGACAAATGTCAGACAAATCTCAGTTTAATATTTGGTGCAGAGCATTCACCCATGTTGACTGCTGTGCTAAATGTAAATGGAGCAGTTTTCTCATCTACTTGAGCACTCAGAGTGCTTTATACAACATGTCTCATTTACTCAATCACACAACCACTTTTTCTACACTTAAGCGCTTAAAACACACACACACACAAAAAACCAAACCCCAAAACAAAACAAAAAACCCACTGAAAACAGGGAGGTACAGGGCTGGACTGAAAATGAATGAAAAAGCAGCAATCATGTCCACAAAAACAAACAAACTCTGCAAAAAAATTTCAACAAAAGGACTAGCAACACAGCAGCAGCAGTGTAACATGGAGCTGGAATTTGTTTACACACACACACACATACAGCAAAGACTCTGAGCTGGCTCCCCCAAATGCAGCCCCTTTTGATGCCCACCCTATCCCAAGATGCTTTGCATATTGGTGAAGAAATCTTTTGAACAAAAATGATGGACAGTCAAAGTGAAGTGGTCCAGGAATAAACTTGCTACATATAAAATTTGTACATCTGCCCAACCTTATTTATTTTATCTTGTGTGTATGTGTTTGTTTTTTTTGTTCTTCATTTTGTCATTTTTCTACTATGTGTTTTACTCTATTGTTTAGTGTCCTTGAGTGTCTTGAAAGGTGCTTTTAAATAAAAGTTATTATTATTATTTCTGTAGGATTTTATGTCCAATTTCACCTTTCTTAGTTTTTCCTTTTGATTAAAATATATAAAATATGTCCATGGGATTCTAAGTCAAAATTGTGTTTTCATTTTGTAAGTTAACAAAAATAGCAACATTTTATAAAATATCTGTTAAATGCCATGGTTGAAGTGTCCAAAGTCAAGAGAGACTAAGAAACCCACACTGCAAAGTGAGAGGTGACAGGATAGACACTTTCCACTCTTGACGATAGGCCAAGACAAATTGTGTGTGGAAGATTAGAAGGAAGAGAAGCCAGAAGCAGCCAAGAGCTGGAGAGGAGAACAGGGAGAGAACAGACAGCTGTTCTCTGTAGCTGAGGGAGAACAGCTGTCTATTAACAACAGCAACAAGAATAATAATAAACACATTTAATTTGTAGTGCACCTTACATTTGCAAAACAAAAATTGGAACTAGCCCTTTTTTGTTTTACATTCTAACCGTAAAATTTTATTGCATACAATGAAACACGGATCTATAATTTTTGTAGTAGTTTTGTAGTTTCACTGCTAAAAATAAAGGACAAATTCAATATGGCGGACGCGCTGACGGGTCGCAGCAACGGGTCAGCCCTCTCCCTCAATGTGGCGTCTGTGTATGCATGTTTATGTCGAAATCATCATTTATGGGTTAACTGAATGCCCATTTAAGTAAATATCGTTATAACCGGATTTTGTCATACATGATAAACGGGACACTAGGAAGGCAGTTACAACCAGGAGAAAGTCAAAACCAATGTAGGGTAATCAAACTGTTATTAGCTTTTGATAAAAGTGCGAAACGGCGTCTATACTAGAAAACAGCGGACATGATTTCTATTACTTCTGTAATCCAGCATTTTTCCATGTCTAGTAATTTCACCTACGCACAACTTCATGTTTGCATAAAAACTTAACTCTGCTACCGAGCGAGCAGTTCCGACTCCCGTAGTAACTGTCGGATTTTCAAACTTCTCGGAGGATTTTATTCTCCACCTGAAAATTCACAGTTCCCCGACAGCCTCGAAGTTTGTTACCTTTAGCAGGCGGTCGTCTAAGCCCATTTCATGGAATTGTAGCCTCTCATGAGCCATCGCTCGTCTCTCACCAAGCTCACACGTGCGTCGCAAGTTTATGACGTCATGTCGCTTTTAAGCACCTCCGAAATAAAAGAAAGAACAGTGTACTTAAAAAAGTGTACTTTTTAAATACACAACACAGTTTTCTTGCTCTTAAAAAAGAAACTGAAGCATATTTCAAATACATAACCAGGGTTTTATATATATATGTGCATATATATATATATATATATACACACACACACACACACACACACACACACACAAACTTTCATCTTCCTGACTGACTGAATACCTGGCTGCCTTGGTGAGACATTTGCCCCTGCAG